TTCTTGATTTTCAGTCTTAAATGTCATGACTATTAATATTATTGTTTTCTTATAAAACAAAAATTGGAAAGCCAAGTAAATGAAAAGAAACAATTTAGCCTTGATGACAAGCAAGTTTCAAAGGCATTTCTTTTGCCAGTGAGGGTTGCTAACGAACCCTATCGACACTCCTTTCAGTAAAAAGTGTTGAATTCTGTTCTGTTACTAATGACCGCCTGTGTAAAAGAGGATACGTTTCAAATCCCAACTGCAGCTTCTGTCATCAGCTAACAGAAACCATATCCCATATTTTGTTCGGTTGTTCTTTTTCAAATTCTTTTTGGCATGAGGTTAATTCTTTTTGGCATGAGTAAAATCAAGAGTTGCAGAAGCTTCTCGCTTGCATATTCCGATATTGTTGTTGGGTTTTTTGAGTAGGAGATGGATCTGTTTAATTAAAGTCGGACAACGCTATTATTAAGGATATTCATTAAGTCAAATAAGTATGTAGATAAGAATTGACAATATCTATTTCCTTAATGAATTCAATATGATGTCATGTCATCAATATGACTTCTGTAAACCAAACTTTATTCATTCGTCTGTAACTTAATTGTTGAAAAAAGAATTGTTGTAATTGTGGAAATAAATAAATAAAGGCCAAAAAAAAAAAAAAAAAAAAAAAAAACTACCCTAAAGAATGGAAATAACCAAATGTTCAAGGCTTGTACATAATACTGGCATTGCATAAAAACTTAAAATGTTTGAGTGGGTGGGCGAGAAAGCTGGCAATGGCGGCGCANAACAAACAAACAAAAAACTACCCTAAAGAATGGAAATAACCAAATGTTCAAGGCTTGTACATAATACTGGTATTGAATAAAAACTTAAAATGTTTTAGCGGGTGGGCGAGAAAGCTGGCAATGGCGGCGCAACAGAAACAACCACCCGCCCCACAGGTTACATGACCTATCCCCAGGCCCCAGTGGTGTGTGAGAAAAATATTTTTTCACTTATTTTGTTTGACTCAGCCGGTGAAAAATTACTATTTGTTTGCATAATGGATAATTTAAGCAAACCATGTTGACCATAGCGAAAACAAGATCAAAGGAGACCTATGGTCAAACTCGTGGATTAAGTAATCTAGAGATGAAACATGTTCACGAACTTATAATCATTGGTGTATTTTTAAAGGCTGTCAAAACAAGCGGGGTTCGTACAACGCAAGGTCGCACCTCTCTCAGAAAGCATAGGCTTTTTTCGTTGGCTTTCGTTGCACACACATCACAGAATAGCTAGGGTGGCAAAATTGCAGCTGAACATGGAGTGGTAAAGGCTAAGGGTTCTTGGGTCACACAGGACACTCCTGCCAAAAAAATTAANTAATCTAAACTTAACTCGATGTCGGTTGAACGTGGACTACTCAACATGAAAAAACGTACGTACTATAAACTGCAAAGCTCTGAACGAAGGTCCAGCTTGATTGAACGTTGGATCTCACAGGAGATCTAATCAGCCAAACTTGAAATGTAAAACGATAATAAGTCAAATACTACTGCAAGGCTGACACAACGTCTATTCAAAACAATATTTCGGCTGGCCTCAGGTTTACATGTTACTAATTATAAAAATGAAATTACAATATTATATAATGGTGCCGATGTTTGTCCTGGTTTCGTTCATTGAGAAGTGTTCGTTTCGCTCATATAAGTTCATTAAGGTCCTCGAATAAGGCACATTCTCATCAAAGCTTACCACATTAGTAGGTCACTTTCCAGCAAACAAATGCTCATCCCCTGGTCATTTTGAACGCCTGGACGAGTCAAACATTCATGAAATTCAGCGCTCAGGACCCAAAACTTAAACGAGAATGACTTATAAAAATGAAAAGAGAGTCATATAAACTCTTGGTCTTCGGCCATCGTAGCTTGATTAAAAATATAAAACAAAAAGCAGTAATAAACATTTTAAAAACATGCATTTTATGAACTTGACGTTTCGTATGCTAGCCAACATGCATTTTCAAAAGTATAACCGTTAAAATTTTTTTGGAAAGATAAAAGAGAATGCTTCATATGCCCTTGAAGCATTCGCGCGTTTGTGTAAAACACTCTACCGAAGACAGCTTCGAACAAAATCTTGTAGTAAGGTGTTTGCTGGGACCCTCTTTCAAGCTTCATCAATTTGAAGTCAACGAAGACGCGGTACCGACGAGTTTTAACTTCACTATGGAACGTTGCAAGCTGGCAATTGGACAAAAACAACGAAAAACAAGCGAATAATGCCCGCCGAACAGCGGGCGAACTTCACGGTCATTTCCCAAATAAAATAAGGTTTGTATTTAGATTCAAAACCTCCCCCACGGAAGACTCACTGACGTAGAAACGAAGCAATCAGTCAAGACAACAATGTCGTCACGAAGCAGTTTCAGTTCCATTCCTCCCATTAAAGTGCGCGCACATTTTGGAAACGTTTTCGTGAAGCTATCGGCTGTCTTCGTGCTTTTGACTGTTTTACTCCTTTTCACGGCTCAGAAAGAAACATTTCCGCATGACCGTGACAGTGTTTGGATATCTGACCTTAAATAGGATTGACATTTTACGATTGTATTTCTCCGTTTGCTCCTTAGTTTTTGTTTCGAATGTAACGGTATATCAAGATATGAAGACAGAGTTAAACCACATTTCCAACACTTCGACGTTCGCCAAAAATAATCCGCCGCGCGTCGTATTTTCATTTCTCCTCGGTATTTGAAAACGTTGTCAAACAAGGTCTTTCGCCGGTAACTGATATTTCACTTCAAATTCTCTTGAGGTTACATCTGCTCGGCTCCTGCAGCTGTAATGAGATGAGGTACGATCTCTACAAAAGAAAAAATAGATGTCTTACCAAGCACGATGATTCCTGGGTTCTTGCTTCAGTAAATTGACCCTGATTAAGACTGTAACTAAGGCAAAACTTGTAAGGCCATTCTTTTGCATCCTTGGCCCCTTGCACTTCAACTTTAGAAATGTTGAAAGGCATACCTAAGGATTAACAAGCAGGTAAGATGATTTCGGCTGAACATTCAAGCAGTAATGACAAAAAAACAACTTACCAAAAGAGCGTTATGGCATGGTAATATTTGGAATACAGTAAAGAAAAACTTGTCGAGAATTTAGCTTTCAAGCTGACCCTGCGGGAGACAACTGAATTTAAAATTGTCCATATTCTACTGTGACTTCGGGCTTGAGAATGTTGCCCGAGACAGCAGGCCGAGGGCAGCAATTTCAAGAGCAGCCGCCAAATAACATATATAAATTTCCACTTATAGGGGGATATCATTAAATTTGATATTAACCCTGTATTGTAATAAGAATCATTAAAAAAAAAAAATAGTCGATAAGCGAACGAACGAAGTAATCCTTAAGGCGAAAATATAATCTAGTTTCCAACAGCTTTCAAAAGACGCACTTGGAAGCCTTTTAGTATTGTCAGTAAATGATATCCAGTGTATACTCAATGATTCCTAATTATCCTAATAGATGGACTAACCGAGATCCACTTGTAACTTAGGAAGAAGCGTTAACCCAGTATCATCGGGACACCATGACACATTTCCATAAATCAGAGGTGCTTCAGTTAAATTTCCTCCACGCACACTTGTGTGATCGTATGTAACATTGCTGCCTGTTGCTTCCCTTAAGATTGAAACGTGGTTTGCTAGAATAGAATAAAATTTGAGACTTAAAATTACTGATTTCTTACACCTGATGATAAAATAACACCAGGTCAAAGGAGGTCAGTCACGGTATTTTGAATTATTTTGGCAACGTACTAAATTACTTTTAATTAAAGGGAACCTGAAAATAAAAGTTAACTTACAATAGACAGAAAAACACTAAAGAGTTAATAATAAACGACAAAGGAACAAGGATGGTTGAGGATGGAGAAGATTGACACGGACTGCAACCGAGGAAGTTGAAAAATTTAGGCTAAACTTTTCAAGATGCGTAATGTAGCTCCTTTAAACCAGAGCGGTTTTTAATGACCCCTCTTTATGGTTAACTTTTCTTATTTGCATTACACTAGCATTTAGCATGTATATGAGAGAATTTAGGGCTATTTTAATTAACTAGTTTCGGTTCGAAGTTGCCTCGGCTCGAATCCACGTTGGATTACGTTGTAATTCACAAGAGAAAAAAAGTTACCGTGAAAAGAGCTATATTGACTGTCGTAAAACCAAAACCAAATTAACCATTCGAGCAGTCACGAAGCATACGGAAAGTCCAGTGAACCAATCAAAACTCAAAAAAAAAAAAAAAAAAAAAAAAAAAAAAAAAAAAANTTGAAAAAGTGTGAATTGGTTTTGTTTTGTTTTGTTTTGATCATAATGAATGAAGGTCTAGATTCGATATGCGCAAAGGTGAAAAAAAAAAAAAAAAAAAGTAGCTGACATATAAAAAGCGCGGGAGAGCATGTGCGAGTTTTATTGCTGATTGGATGATAAAGTGGCGCGATGTTTTTGAGCCAATCGTGTAGTGTAGAGACGAAAAAATAATATCTATAACGATTCGACACTCAAAACGAAAAAAAACCACTCTAAATGCAAAAGAAAACAGAACATACAAACACACAACAAAAACAAAGAAAACAAAAATAAAACAGCGTCACTTCAACGATGCAAAGAAAAAAAACTGAATTGAATGACGAACAGTTTTGCTAGCTAATACGAGATTCGAGGATTTTATTGTAGTTTTAATCGAGATAAAGTGAGCTCGAACAGATCAATCAAAGCCCTTTAAGTTGCTCTTCCTTAGACATCTTTCACGAAACAATTAGATTATGAGTTCGAGATGTCTGTCGCGTGATGCATGTAGTTTACAAGGGTGCAGCCCCAGTAAACTATCACGTATAGAAATCGAGTGCGAATAACCTAGAAATTGTTTTAGTATTAATCGTTATCAGTGAATTCTTTTCCCAGACATTTCGAAAATGCAAAGAAGCAGTAACCATTTTGTCATCAACCGCACACTGCCAGGCTACTCACTATCTTCAATCGAATAGATAGTGAGTAGCGTAGCCAATAAGAGATAGATCAATTGTACATTTATAGTGGTATAAAATAGAACAGAACCTTACATTCGTTGTAGCGGCGAAAAACGTCTATTCTTAGGCACATTCCATCGCCTTTGAATGGTCTCCATGGGGCAAAGGTGAGATATTGAGC